GTGTTTTGTGCTTATTGCTGATAGCTCTAACAAAGTCAGATCCTTTTAAATACCATCGAGTTTAAGGAGCCTTTGTTGTCCTGTAGCTTAGAGTAGCAATGAGATCTGTCCTTCTGTGGCTAGCCTTCAGTGTGTCCTGGTGTCATCCAAAAGCATCATATTTTTCACTGTTTTCTAGCTAAGCTTTATGCATTAAAATTCACATGGACATTAGAGGGTCCTACTTTAAACCAGATTAAAAACCTCATATTTCCTCCTCTTCTTGTCCTCCTGTACTTCAAAATGTGTTTCCCCCCCTTCTACTCCCTCAGTCTTCTTTCAAACCTAATAAAATCTAGTAGTAGTAACATTTTTCCTGATGTTCCCAGTAGCACTCATTCCTGATTGCATCTGCAAAATGATACTTCTCAGTGAAACAGGCTCTTTTGTGCTTTTTAGATACTTGCTTTTATTGGGACTAGTGGCCTTTGTGACAGCAAGCTTCAGTGAAAATGACCCCAGCAGACTGTGCCTCTTAGTCTTCAATGGCTCTGGCTGCAGATGCCCTCTTTTGCCAGCCTTTCTTGCAGCTTGTAGTAGTATAAAGCGTTGGCATGAAAACTATGTTTAGTAAACCCGAAGCTCTCATGTCATCTTCTCTTCCTCGTTGGGATTTTTTAGTTATACTTTTAATATGCCCTTTTGTGACCTCAGTTACAAAAATAGCTACCCAGATATACCCCAAAGGAAAAGAAGATTCTCTCAGAAATTTCTTTTGAATCTCAAATTGACTAGCAGTTTTGTTTACTTTTTGGATAAATAGCTTAGGTTCCCAATCCCTTTGCACAGCTTTCTTCTCTTATTTCAAAGGAAACGTCCTGCTAGTCTGTGGACTGCCTCAACTTTTCCTAGTTTGCAGGCTTCGCATGTTCTTCTAGTGACAGCAAGTTTCACACTAAAGCAGAATCTGGCATGTTTTGCACCACAGCTGAATTTTTCTCATCTATTTTCATATTAATTTCTCCTTGGCACTGTCAAATGGTCAGATAATAGCAGCTTCATTGCTGACTTCTGTCACAGGTGAGGATGATCAGGTTTTCCAAAATACTGACAAATTGCCTGCTTAGTAGGTTTATCATTAAATGAATTATTAGTAGAATTTTCGTCTGTGCTTTTTGACTTGAATTGCTGCTGTGTAGCTAGCAGTTTGGATATCATCCATCCTAAATTCATGAAACTCTCTGTCGGTTTGTCACCTTTCCACAATGTCTTTCAAGATTTGAAATTTGCCCTCCTTTTTAAGTTTGTGAATGCATATCTTCAAGCAAGTGAGCCCTTTCTTTAGAAAGCTCTTCCAAATTTTCATTTATGTCTGCATTAGTCACCCTTCACGAGGTGGCAGAATTGGAGTAGAAACCTAGGGCTTTGTGATCGTACAGTGTGTGCTCCGAGTTATACCTTGTAGATGTTATTGGCCGGTGGGTTGTGGTAGGAATCAAATCACTCTTTCTTTTTTTTGTACAGATGGAAATATGTATGTATTCTTTCTCCCTTTTAAATAATCTTTCCCAAATCAAAGTTGAATCGAAACTTGGCCTTTTGACATACTTAGGTGCTTGGCACAGAATGGGATTCTCAGCTGCTCTCAGCAGCATCACTTTATCTCCAGTTCTTTCCCTGTGCTCCCTATTTCTGCACACCCTATTGTGTGCCTTATAAAAATGTCACTGAAGAATGAGAGGTTTGTGCTGATGGAAGAGTGATCTAAGTAATGTTTTGTGTTTTCCTATTTAGTATATTACTGAGTGTATGTGCTTGTAGTTGCTCTTTTTCTGGTTTCTCTTTTGTTCCTTCTTGTTGATGAAATGGTCTTATGTGCAAACGGGCCATGAATAAGCATTCTGACACTTGAGTTCCTGACATAACATCTTGCAGGACATTATGATGGTCTTTTCTAGCCAGTGTTAGCTATAAACCTCATGATTTGCTGTATTTGATAATTTTTCTTTGTGGCAGCATTTAAAAATTGAGTTAGCAACTAAATACTCTCACTGAGTAAATTTAGGTTTCTTTTTATCTAGAGACATAGCAACAAATTATTCCAGCTTACGTTTGACTTCCCAAATGATGTTCAATATCTGTCATAAATTCCTTATGGCTTGCTGTTTTGGCATTAAACCTGTTTGATTTGGATTTTCAAGTTCAAAAACTTCTGTGTTAAATAATTGTCCAACACTTTTGTCAACAGTTTATTATTTCCGTTTAATAAAGGTTGGCCTGAATTTACCATAAAGTTCAGTATCCCTCATGGATTTGAGGGTTTAGCTATATAACCTTAGACTCTAGGGGGAGATGAGAGATACCTAGGAACTCATTGAATGCTTCCAGTAGATTCAGGATGAATAATTTTTACAAGCCTTGTAAATTGCCCAAGGAAGCCGTCATTTTCTGAAGTTTTCCTGTTCTGAGCTGTCTCTAGCATTGGTTTTGTGTGTGTGTTCATCCTTCTCCAGAACTTTCTTTCTTGAAGATGAACCCATCTTCTACAAAATGTCATGGAAGAAATCTTTAGGTAAATCATGCTTGTTTGGGGTTTTAGGGTGGACTGCTTTATGAGGCTGTGTTGTTTGTCTTGTTATTAATGATAGAAGTTCATTGCAGTGTCTTGTTACCTCAGTCATGTTGTATGGTAGTGTTGTAGTCTCACCCAATGTTTTTTTAAATGTATTGATCCTAGCAACCAGTGAAGAGAATAGTTTGTGCCAGAGAACCTGTAAGTGATGAAACATTCAACCTCAGTAACAGTGATACGTTTTAAGACGGTATAAGCAAAATTATACAGAACTGATGTTGTTACACAAATGATATATAAGTAGGTATTCTCAAAACATTTTTTTTCTCTTAGATTAAGTAACCTCTATTCCTAAGTTCAGGGCCAGTTTGAAAAAAGGACAATGCATGGAAGAGAACAAAATGCAGTTTGTTTTTTTTTTGCGGCTAAGGCTATTTTAAACATCCCTGGATAGTTTCACAGGTTCTTAATTTTTGAGATCAAGGTTTTAGGTTAGTATGACTTACCTATTTTCACAGATAGTGACAGTCTCATATAATTTTATTCTGATGGAAAAGAATCTCCAGTTTGGGATACCTAATCATACGTTAGTCATACATAACTTTGTGAATAGCAGGTAACAAGATACCCATATCTTTTTCACTGTGCAAAGTGGTAAGTGTACCTCTTCAGAGTCAAGAGTCAACTCCTTTTCCCCAGACTGAGTGCCAGTAGGTAGAAGATAAAGATTACTAGGTAGCATTACTAGAGTTACCATTTCTCTAAGGGTTTCCTTCATTCACTGCTGTTGTCAGACAGTGTTTCCCAGCCACTGAAAGGGAGGGGATGAGGAGGTGCACAGGCAAGAGTACCAGTTACAGAATTTCAACCTAAAATATTGTGTGTCAAAAGCAAATGTGCTCCTTATGGGATGCTGAGCTTGAAAATGACTGCGTGAAACCTCATGTTGTGATAGATATTCAGCTCTTTCCTTGCCCCGTACATTTCTGTCCGACAGAAGTGTGGTGTCTGGGTGCTGCCCGCAGCCTGCAGAGCTGCTCCTGGGCTCTCCTCCCACGCAGGTGGGATCTGGGCCACCGCCAAGACTGGTCAGAGGTGCTAGGAGCTGGGTGCTGAGCGAAGGATTGGTTGGAGGCTGTAGTTCTGGCCTTGGGCACCAGCAGTCCTTTCTTGGTGGGTAGCTGCAGCTCCCCCCGCACAGGACAGTGCCATCTCTGCCGAATAACCCGTGGAGAAATTCTGCAAAGCAGTTTCTGGTGTTTTCCTTGTAGCTGTAGGAGTGCTATCAGCAGGTATCTTGAAGTGCTGGTCTACGTGTGCGTTTTCCTTGTGCAGACTTTTGATCGTGCACAGCACGGCACACGCTGTGTAACAGAGCCTAGCCTTTTGTCTGACTTTGTACTTGATTCCATTTTAATATCAGCAAGAACCTTTTAAATGGTATTCATGTTGTCATGGTTTAGATTTTGGTCCTGACTCAGCGTTTTGCTATCACTTAGCCCCATGATGGTTGTTTGTAACTGCTTGCATTGCTTTGTGGTGAGTGTTAGTGGTTGCTGAGGCAGCATCCATCTGTCATCTGCTCCTGAAGGCTGGCAGTGAAGTAAAGTAGATAAGAGTTTTATTTAATTGAATATGATACCAGCGTTCTGGTTCTTTACCTACGTGGTCTATATTCTCATTCTAGACATCTAGACAACTGAGAATAGATTTAAAAAAAAAAAGAAGTGGAAGAGGATATTGTGCATCTAGTGTTTCCCCTCAAAAATCTGCAGTGTGCATTCTGGGGTCAGAATTGTCGATGTTTTTCATGTCTGCAGGCATCAGCTGTATCATCATTTATTTGTATAGCACATTTAAGTTGTTTTACTGACCTGGTATATCATGTCATAAAAACTCTTAAAATAAAGATTCTGAACAGTTTTATATTTACTGTCAAGTAGCAAAGTTTTCAGAATTTGTGATACTGAGAAATGATGGGTTAAATTTATCATGTTACCCGTAAACCAGCTAGAGCACATATGAAACATTTCTCCATGGTATGATAAAGGTAGCAGCGGATAAATAAACAAACAAATGTTTATATGTCCCAGAGAAAGTCTGAATACTTAAAATAAACATGTCTGAGGCTATGAGTACCATTGGCAGGCTTCAGCAGGACTTCAGTATTAGTTGACAGAAAGGACTTTGGGATTTCACTTTCAAGTAGATCACAACTTGCACAATGTATAATGTGAAAGAGCAACAGCTGCAAAGAAGTGCTGAAATGCAGGGGGGAAGAGTACTGAGCTATCAGTACCTAGGGTATCTGGCAATATAAAACACACTCCTCTAGTAGTCCTTTAAGACAGAATTCTGTTTCTCTTGTTACGCGAGAGAATGTTAACTATCTAGTAACATTTCTGTAAGTTATATTTGTATTAAAATGTATTTTTACTTTTTTTGGTAGGCAATTAAAAGTCTGGAAGATTTGATTTCAAAACACACCATAAATTTCAAAGGAAGTAAATCTACATGAAGAGCTACAAAGGGAGTTGACTTGAGAAGATACAGTGTTTGCAAAAATGTCTTCAAGTTGTGTGACTTCAGTGTTTGCTTTGATGATTTTGTGCTTTGCAGCTGCAGGTAGGTGACATTATGTAAATCATACATTCAGTGTAACTTATTTTATATATTCAGAATTATTAATCAAAAATACTTTTTCATGCTGGAAAAATGTAGGTCAGCTAAAGTTTATGTCTAAGTTTTATATGAAACTGTTGTGATCATAACTGCTGGTATGGCGATGTGAGGAACAACGCTATTGCTATAAGAGCGTTTTCTTGCACCAATGTTCTCCCTTAAAATCATTGAAGAACTGCAGTAGTAATGTAAATCATTTTGGTAATTTATTTGTTTATTTAAAAAAAAAGATAATTGCATGTTGCTCATATATTGTAAAGGGGAAGGTTGCTATGGAAGCCTTTAGGAGTGGAAGCAGGGTAACTGTGCCAGCATGATACTGAGGCTGAGCTATTAGCTCTGTCAGGAGGCTGGATTTATTACCCTGGGTGCAGGGTTGTGCTGGTGAAGCTGACCTAGGATCTTTCTACAGAGAAGGTGTACCAACTCCGCTCAGTGCTGCCTTCAAGGTCTATAATCTGGAATTAAGTCTAGATCATTTTAGTTCATAAAAAAAATTCTGACAAAATCCCAGAACAGTTCATAAGAGGTCACCGAGTCCATCCATCCTTCCTGCCCTGTTGGGATAAACCTCATCTCGGTCATTCCTGACAGTTGTCTAATCTATTTTAAAGATAACTGTCAATGGTGGTGGCAAAGACCTTTTAGTAACAGTTGCTAGTGTTACTGGAGGTCTCATACGTTGGGAAGATGCATTGCCATTTATGGGGATTGTTCCTGTCCCACGTTTTGTCCTAGACAGGGATTTTTAAAACACTGTGTTGCAATAACTTGTGACAGAGAAAGGAAAGATCTGTAGAGTTCAAGTACCTAACTTATATTGTAGTTTCTTCAAGTGCTGAAGTGATTCTTCTCGGTATGTTTGTTTGTCAAAGTTCTTCCTGTGGTTGCAAGGGGAAGCCTCTTCTTATGTGTCCAGCTTGCATACAGCATGGGTCATTGGAGAAGAGGCCAAGTGGATATACAGTCAAAATGAGGTAGTGGGAAAAGTGGACAGATGGCTTGCTTAAATCTGAGATGTCCTCACTGTGGAAAAGATGACCAGCTTTGGAAGAGACAGAGCTGAGCAATTAAATGTGTTAAAATTTGGCTTCCTTTCATCATCAGCATGGAAAATTATGTTGTTTCAAGCCCTCAAGCCTTGTGGGACTTTCTCTGGGGTTGACCTCCTGAAGGCATCCATCCAACATTAGTAACTTCAATTGTTTAATAGTACGTGATGCTAACATTTTGCAATAGCTTCGTTACTGATGAACTTTCAGCAATACAGGGCGTGTCTGAGTGTGTCTGTGGCTTGAGCTGAGGATATGAACGCTGGTCTTGGCTGAGAGGAGTGATTACTTGGAGCAAATCTGTATCATTATAGATGCATAAAAATCTACCTTAAAAGAAAGTGCCAGTGTAGAAAATAAAAACTGTTTCTGTTGATCACAACCACAATTCCATTTTGCTGCTGAGATTGCTTGCCTAAGTCAGCTTACCGGCTTTAATTAAAAACCACTAATTTAGAAAGGTTATCAAACATAGTACTACTATTAGAAAGTTACTCAGTGTTCAGAAACCTTAGCATGTCTGTTCTGAAGTTTATTGTGGTTGTTTTGGTTTTACTCCCCAATACTGTGTTTTCCTCTGGCAGCTATCCTTGAAACAAACTCTTAAAAAGCACTAGGGCCTTGGATATGATCAGATGCTTATTCGTAAGTAGAGCCATAGGAGGATTTTGGCTGGAAGTCTAGTCCAGCCCTGTGCTCAGAGCAGGGCTAGATTCAAAGTTACTTCTTTGCACTATCTGCATGGGAAGAAGATAGCTGAAGGGAGTAGAAAGGGTCACAATTTGTTAGGGGGAGGTGAGGAAGCACTATCATTGTGGTTTCTAGCTGTGCCTGTCCTGTGGGTTTTGGTTTTCTTCCATGCTTTTTATTTTTGCGATAAATTCTTAATAAGAACAACTAGTTAATGTCCTTTACAGAGTATCATGAGTACAGTAAGATAAGAGCAATAAAGCACCGATGGACTCTGATGAAAGAGAGAGAGTGTGAGATCGCAGGCAGGTATAATTACAACTGAGGAAGGACAGCTCTCTGAAGGTTATTTACATAGAGCTTTTGCAATGTTTTTCTCTTAGTAGTCACCGAGTCCTGTTAACCCAAACAATTATACTTTAAATGCAGGGAGTTTGTGGCTATAGGTGAAATACGGGTGGGAACAAGCAACATGTTCTAGTCATGTGCCGAAAAAGCTGTGGCAGATGTCCATGAGCTATTGTCAGTGTGATGGCCACGGTGCTGCAGGCTTGGCTCTTAATTGCCGGTGTATAGAACCTGTACTTTTTCAGGCTTGAACCATTAACTTACTAGTACATATAAAACTAAGAAGTATAAATAAAATTCCTGCATGCCTGTGGTAAAGCCTGGGGGAGGCAGGGGGCAGCATGCCACCTCCCTAGGGTGTTGATTTTTATATATTGAGCCTTTTTCCAGCTTATTCTTTGTTTCTGAAGTAGTGAGGCTGCTGCAGGAGAGCACACCTTTCTTTTGTTTGCCAGTCCTACACTGACACTGCTATTATTGGTCTAGGTTTGGTTGCTGACTTTCCAATATCTTCAGCATTTTATCTTTTCAGATATAAGTGATCTTCTAGACAGAATCTGTGTTTTGGTTTTGTGTTGTGGGTTTTTTTTCCTTCCATTCTTGCTTTTTAAGGCACTAATGTGTTAAATATATCTCAAAAAAATCTGAGCTAGATGACATGATGCAGAGAGATGCGTATTCAAACCTGAGCCACAAAACTGCATGTTTTTCATGCTAATAGCTTAAAGAATACACCTCACTAACTTTGCATTGAAAGTGGTCTGTATAAATATTCAAACTATTTCTCTACCTCCTCTTACTGCCCGGATGTATGTAGCTAATTGCTTATCTGAATCTGATTGACTTTTAGCTTGTACACAGATTTCTTTGTAAGCTCATATTTATACAGCTTCAGTTGTACAGAAAAAGACTGCAAAGAAAACCTTGATTACCGTGAGATTTTTCTTCCCCATGGAAAGTCCAAGGCAGGATGGAGAGAACTGCTGGCAAACTATCTGCCTGTCTGAAGGAATTATGTTTTTGAAGTGGGCTTAAACTAAGGTCTGGCAACCTGCAGTAGGAACTCCACACAAACACTCAGCACACGCTACAGCCTTGGATAACCTCATAAGCAAGTCTGGCTTTGTAGTCTTGGGAGCAAATATATTCTGTCCTAATGTAGCTTAAATCAAAGGCTGAAACGTACTTATTTTACTTCCTGGCAAATTTGTGCAGTTGGGTGCATGATGTATGTCTCGATAAAATGTCTTAGAGGACAGCTGAAACACATACCTGCCCTAGACCCTGAGGGTCACACCTTCAATAGGATAGGTTCTTCCATGAAGGAATGGGAAAATTTTTCTAACTTGAACTTCTTTTTTTCCTTTTTCTTTCCTGCCTTACTGTTCAGCTGGAAAGAGGATAGAAGGATGATACAGCCTGTGGATCTCCACGGGCCAAGGATCTCATTCCAACTTTCTGGGGTAGATCCTCTGGTGGTGCAAATCATTCCCGCTGCTAACAAAGCAGTGCAGCCGTGGCATCTGATACCAAGCAGAATTTGCCTCTGCAGCTATGTTCTCTTTCCCTCAACCCCCCTGATATTTGATGTTGTCTGTGCTTGCCTTGTAGACACCTCCCTCTCTTCTTGTGACAGTTTCATGGTTGTGGTCAGGCTGATGGAAAGACTGTAAGAAATGGATATATTGACAAATTTACTTATTTTCTGTAATACCGAACTTACTGCTTTATCTGCTCACATTAGGTCTGTCTCTATGGTTTTCTTTCAACAGCTCTGTATTCCCTGGTTCTCTACTGTATTATCCTAGGTTTTTTTTTTTTCCTTTCTTTCTACATACTTGTTCTTATAAGTAATCTTACGTTGTTCAGAGCATGTGTGCTTCCTTTTCAATAAGGCTGTTTGCTTGTAAGCTAATGTATCTTTTGGATCTGTGCCCCCCAGATATGGTGGTGATGGGTGCCATGTTAATAAGCGGAACAACAGGAAGAAACAGGCCTTGTCATGACATCTTTTTTTTTTTTAAAGAGGAACTTCCCCTGACCTTGAACACTGTGTTTCCAAAAGTGATATAGGATCCTTCAAAGTGTAGTAGAAAGTCCTTCCACTGGAAGGTGAAGGACATGATCTAAAAAAAAAAAAAAAAAAAATGCTGGGAGTCACTCACGCAAATTTCCTTCCTTTTTAAACAGTGTTTGCTGGGTATTTCCCAGATGTAATTTTTTTTCTTTTTTTTTCCCTCAGAATATTTGTTGGCAGGGGTGTGGGGTTTTTTGTTTGTTTAAATTGTGGTTAGAGGATGAGGACCAAGGGACAGAGGTTGGTTCTCGAACTATTAGGACTGAAGTAAAGCACAGGCTGGCTGCAACTTTTGAATGGGTAGAGATTTCACTCTCCACCTCCCTTCAGTTCTTTCTCATAATTGGCCAACTTCTGCCTCCTTTGAAAAACCACCCAGTCCTATCCCTTTATGGCCTGGATAGTCAGTCTTTTATGGGATGAGATTAACCAGTACTCAGAGCATTTAAAGCTCAGAGAAGAGTTAGAGGAGCAGAGAGCTGGTTGGCGTGCTGTGCCTTGCTTGTCTTGTATCTGGGCTGCTGCCACGCTTTGGGTCGGAAAGGCTGGGAGCCCTCCTGTACGGGCTGTGAGGGAACAGCCACGCTCTTTTCATGGGTGCCTATCGTGCTCTCAGTTCTGAAAAATACTGATTAGGAACCACTGACTAGCTTTTAAAGGTAGAAATTGTTCTAGGTTTTTTATCATTTCAGCACCCTGATGGTGATTTGAAGCGTCTTAATGTCAGATGTTCATCTGATAGGGAGCCAAATGGTGAATTCGTAACTTAATGTCAG